TGCGATGGATGGACAGATGGAGATCTGCAAGGTGGGAGGAGAAGGGTCATGGTCCCGCTCCTCACCGATGGGACACGCCAAGGAGAATTTGATCTTTTTCCACGGGGGAAATTCAGCCCTTCCCAGAACCCAGGTGCCCAAATACATCCTTTCCACCTCTTCCTCCCAGGACTGGACCCTCCCCATCCTTCCCCAGCTGCAGGCCACTGCCCCTCCTGATGCCACCACTAATGCCACACATGAGGTGACATAGTGAGTCAGAGGGGAGCAAAGGACCTCATTCCCACTGGGGGCTTTTCCTTGGACACCCCCTGGGGCATCAAAGGATGGGTGGCATGTTCTTTCTCTCCCAAAGGTGACACAGGTGGCTACACCAAGATCCATCCCCCAGTTTTTGGGCAGCTTGGGTACAGTGAAAAGATTTTTGAGTGGGACACCCATGATACAGCAGCCCTGATCTGTAGAGGAACAGGAAATTTTGTGGCTCTCCAGGCTGCCAACTCCACTCTAAGCGAAACTAAGGACATTTTTGAGATGCATCTGTGAATTTTCTGAGCTCACACAATTTTTCTTCCATCACTACGCAAAGGCCTTAGATTTTCACGTGGTTCCTTTGCCTCTTGAAAAATCAGCAGTTGAGGGGGAGAAGGGCTGCTGAGAATGAGACATCAAAGACTGACCCCTTTGCCGGCTTTGTTTGAAAAGCCATTTTGGAGATCTCCACCAGAACATCCATTTGGAAAAGCAATCAGACTTGGTGCATTTACAAAAAACTGCAAGAAAAACCCAAATTACTTGTTCTCAATGCCCGCCACAGCCTGGCTGAAGCATCGCCTTCCCAACCACACTAAAGCCCCTAGGGTCCCCATGCACCCACACCCCACCTCTTACGCCTCTGATTTGGGAGATACTCACTAAATAAAGAGGGCACTATAGGCAGCCACGACCAGTCCAGCTGTCCAACACACTGCCACGGCCCCGCTGCCCACCACGGCCCCCTTGTCGCAGATCTTGGTGGTGGGTGGCGCCATGAAAGAGGAGGTGCTAGCGCTTGTTGTCTCTGTAGGGAGGGAAAGTGGATGTCGAGGGCAGCTGGAACGCCCTGGGATGCATCCCATAGAGGCAGCCCTGCTCTCCTGTGGGTGGGGATAGCGCACTGTCCCATCCCCAAATTGCCCTCACTGTTATGCCACACTAGGGCTGAGCGAGCTGGAGGGGGTGGGATGATTCAAGGGATGGTGTGATCCATGAGACTTTCCCTGATGTGACAGTGACTGCTTGGAGATGCCTGTGCAATCAGGCAGAGCTGGGCATCCCTCCCCATCACCATCCCGCCCAGCCGGGCTACTCTGAGCACCAGCTCTATGGGAAATTTAGCTAAGAAGTCACGATGAGCCACATCTCTCAGCAGAGAGCATCCCTCACCCACAGAACATCCCAGACATGCCTGTGGTTGCTGGGCTGGCTCACAGGGCTTGTCCTCCTTTGTACTGGACCAGATGGGTTATCTGTCCCTGCACAGAGCTGCGGGATTGCAGGAAGGACCTGTATGGGCAGTCAGACTGGGGCATCTTTGGCCACATCCAGAGTACCAGAGTACCCCTGGCCAGACAATCTGGGCTGATTGCTGAGGGCCAAAAGGGTCTGTCTTGACATCTTTCAGACTCCACTGAGGTGTCACAGTGAGACTCAGCCCTGGCGTTGGAGTGTCCCACACCAGCCCTGCAGGGCTGCACCAAACTGCATGCACAGGGACATGTGTGCAAAGGGCATGTGTGTGAGGGACACACGTGTGCCTGCACAGGGAGCAGGCAGGTGCCATTGGAAGTGGTATTTACATTTAGCACAATGCAGGCAGATATAAAAGCAAAACCAAATCCCCAGCACTAGCACTGCTGCAAGATGTGCCTGCACTCCTTGAGGGAGTTCATCCCCCTGGGAACGGGGTACTGCAAATCCGTGCTGCTGCCTGAACTTCCAGGTGCTCTACTGGGTGCTGTTTCTAAAAGTGGGGGTGTCTCTGCACAGGAGTCAGGGGAACCAGTGTAGGGTCTGCTCCATCCCTTCTGGGAAACGGAGGGCTGATAACACCCATTTGGACACAGTCCCAGCTCTTTCCTAGAAACAGAGACTTGTTAACTTTGTGGCTTTTATTTTGAATTGGCATCACTCCGAGCCATTGTGAGGGGTCGGAGGTGTGGAGGGGGTAGGACTGGAGAGGGGAGGGAGGGATGGAGGGGGACAACACTAAAAGGGAATAACAGTAACAATAATAATAATAATAAAACAATGCCCATCTTTGTTGTCCCACCCCAAGCATGCCGGCAAGAAGGATGCTGGACCCAAGTGAGCTGAGTCAGCATTCCTCAGGCCATGGTTGCACCTGCTGACAGGGAAAGTGTAGGGTGAAGGGCTGCAGCTCCCCAGGTGCTCAGGGGATATCCTTGTCTGGGGACAAAACTTGCACAGAGCCAGAGAGGAGGTCCCTCAGCCAGGACTCCTGGTTTTATCCTGGCCGCAGGCACAGCCCTGTTTGTAGTGGGAAGGGGCTCTTACCTGTGATCTGGGCCTCTGTGGTGAGATGTTTGGGCTCCTCTGTCCAGGGGGTGGCATGAACAGCCACACTCCAGTCACTCCACGTGCCGATGTCGTTGTCTTTGGCTGCCACCTGGATGATGTATTCCTTGCCAGCGTAGGCATCCGTGATGGTGTGCGACGTCCCATCCGACAGCTCAACCTGAGGGCAGCAGTGGGGAGGGGAGGGTGGTCAGAAGGTGGTCAGCATGTTTAGCTCAGCTAGAGGACGTTAACAAGATTTTGCAGCACTTTGGGAAATACTGGGGGGTTGTGGGGAGAGGCATGAGCCCTGGGCAGGGATGCAAAGGGAGATGCTCCATGTGCAGCAAAACCAAAGGTCTGGAGACCCGGTCCTGCTCCCAGACTCGTGGTGCCTGAGTGGAGCAGCTTCCTCTAGAGGTCACCAGAAACTAACAGATGTGTGTGCAGGCTCCCTCAGACATGTTAGGGCAGCTGGGATTTGGATATCACAGGCAGTGGATGGGGTGTGCAACAAGCTTTCTGGGCAATACTGCCAGTGCTGGGAGGAGGCTTTCCCACCAGCAACACCCCTGGCCACCCTGCTCCTGTGCCTGTGGTATCCCACTGTCCTGGCTTCCATCCCTCTGGCTGGGCCTTTGGACAAGGATCAAGTTGTGTCCAGCTGTCTTTCCTAGAAAATATTCCCTCTGTCCTGTTGTCACTGCTACCTGAGCCACATATGGTCCTGTCCAGCCTGTCCTTGTTGCTGCAAAGTCCGGTGATTTAACCCCAGACTGTGTCCACACCTTCTGGGGGATCTCTGATCCACTCGGAGCTTGGCTTAAGCACAGGGGTATGTAGATGCTCAGCAGGAATGGTCCCTCATGGCACAGATACCAGTGACCAAACACGCCTGGCTGACCGAAGGGGAGGGCTCAGCACCCAAGTGACCTTCCAGGGATGAAGTCAGACTTGGCCTTGGGGTCCTTAGGGTATGGAGGGGACCAGGGCAGGAGCATGCCCTCCACCCCATCTCTCAGACTGAGGACCAACATGCTGCCAACTTCACTACCCTACTATGCTGCCTGTGCATGGGTGGGTGGGGGGGATGGACACACAGCATCCCTTGTCTGCCCTGAACCCTGTCTGTCTGCCCAGACACACTGATAATAAAAATGCTGGAGGGATAAGGGGGTGGTGTGTGTCTAATGCAATCCATCCTTGCACACCAGTGATCAGCCGGGGGCTCAAGCTCAAGCAGAACAAGCAGCACTTCATGAGTGGGGGGAACTTCATGGTGCAAGCCACACAGAGACCTCCACACCTCCCCAGCCACCCAAGAGAAGGTCAGGTACAGAATCCCACTGCCCCAGGGAGCACCAAAGGCTGAATTTTATTAAGAACTCAGTTCAATTACAGGAGCAAGATGAAAACTTCTGCCAGGTCCCTGAAGCCAAAGAAAGAAAAGCTGCACCATTGGAGTGCCCTGGAGGTACCTGAGCCAATGCACCTGTGGGATGAGGCTGTCTTGGCATTGTGGCTTTACACACACAGGGATGATGTGCACACCAAAGATGTAGGTGCACACCAGTGCCTGGTGTGGTCAATGTCATCACCCCACTGCTTACAGGGGTATCTGAAAAGTAGAAACCCACCCTGAGAAAGAACCAGCCCTTTTTCAGAAACCATGGTGCAGCACATGCAACAACCTGGCACAGATTTAATCCCTTTGGCATGTGAACTGCAGCCCTCTCCCTCCCCACCCCGGGCTTTTACAGTCTCTGTAGAGGATCCCTTACCAGGCAGAGAGGCAATTTTGCTTTCTTGCACCAGTTGAGAGCTTTTTTTTCCTATTCCCACTTCCAGGGCTGCATCCAGCCTTCCGCCCAGCACATCAGGGCCCTTGGGCTCTTCATTTCCAGCTGCTCCTGCCACCCAGCCTGGGCCCGTAGGAGCCCCACATCTGGAGCACATCTGGAGGCAGACCGGACTGGTCTCCCCCACAGCCGACAGGGAGCAAAGGGCCTCCTGCTGCCAGCAAGGCATGAAGTGCTACCAAAACTCGGCAGCATGGAGAAAGCCGCGTGTCCATCTCACTGCTGCAGATTTTGGGGCTGGATGGGGGTCCTGCCTCTCTTCACACCACTAACTCGGGTCTGACACCATGACCGACACCAATGGTGCTGGTGGGATGCAAATGGGGTGCCACTGGTTTCACTGCAGGCTTGTACCAAGCTGGCATGTGCCTAAGCACTAAACCACTATCAGCAAAGCCTGAGTCCACCTCTATCATCCAGGGGACATCTTCCCACTGTGACACGGGTCTCACCTGTCATAGGGTGACATAGACATAGGGTCTGACCTGTTGGCATGGGGGAAGTTACTCAGGGTGCCTGCCAAGGGATCCAAGATCACAGCCTGGCTGGGCAGAGCCTGATATGGGGTGCAGACGAACGCAGACCCTGGTGGGGCTCCATGCAGGGTCTCCCTGAGTTTCCAGCAAACTGAAAATGCTGAGCGCCAACCCTAGGGTCACAGGTGCTGCCTCTTGACCAGGTAAAAGGGTTAGCTCACAGGTCCCCAGCAATCTATACCAGGGGGGTGGCTGCTCCCATCCTGGGGGCATAGGCACAGTCCATCCTGCCGGAAAATGGTTCGGGACCATTTAACTTAATGGGATAGGTGAAAACGGAAATCTTGCAAGGTCTGGACAGAAGGGAGGACAGGGAAAAGATAAGGAGGATGCCAGTTCCTCCTGCAGCACAAGGCTGTGCATCCTCCAACATGCAGGGAGTCTTGGCTAAGACACATCCCACCAGCCCCACCAAGCTCCCGCCCTCCTCAGCCCAGGACCAGGGTCCAAGCTGGATCAGGATCCTCAGACGTGATGGGCTCTTCACACCCGTTGCTGCACCCAGCAGAGCTGCAGAGGCAATTTCTGTACCCTCTTCTCATAGGGACACACTTTCATGGCCCTAGCACCTAGGGATGGGTAGGTGGGACAGGAGACCCACCAGGTTGTGAATCACCTGGTCTGATTGGCAAGGCACCTCCCTGCAGTCTTGTGGCATGGTGAGGCTGTGCCTGCCTCCCACACCTTGGGATTCATGCCTTTGCCAGTGGCTCCAGTCACTGCTCACAGGTGTACTGCTTGTGGGCACAGCGGGCCGGGGTGCCCGTACAGCACCGTGCACACCACACAGTGGGGACCCACCTGGATGGGGTCAGCCCAGAGCTGTTTGGTGGCATCCACCAATGTGGATGGCAATGCTAAGGTGATCAAGTTAAATTAATCCTTAATGACAATTATATGAAATGAAAACTCCCTGCAGACCTGGATTGCTCTGTGCTAGGTTGGGGGTGGCTTGGAATAAGAGAGTGAAGACAGGGCTCTGAAAGATGCTGGGGTTATGCAGCTGGTGTGTGGCTTTCTCCAGGTCTTTCAGCATCCTCTGAGTCCCCATGGCTCCTCTTTGACACCTGTAGCAAGCAGGCTGCAACAGGCCAGCCCCACCGAGGTCTCACTGACCTGGCCAGGCTGCTTTTCCATCCAGGAGCATTTTCTCTATCCCAAAGAGCCTTGCCAGTTCAGTGCTTCCCCTTGGGAGCAATTCCTGCCTCTCCCCACCCAGAACAACAAACCAAACCTGAATGTTTGCAGATGATGTGTCAGAGGCACAACTGGGTCAAGTCTGTGCCTTGTTTGTGGAGGGGGAACATACCCCCAGGACCCAGGTTAGAAAACCTGGAGGACCTTCCTTATAGGACCTGGGAGGATGCTGCCCTAAGCTCTGCTTTACACAACAGACAAAAAGAGAAGGCATGGACGACATCATCCATCTCTCCCCACACATATGACCTCTGGATGCAGAACTTCTGAGCTGGGTAGCCAGGGACACATCCAGTATTTGCCACGGCGGGTGAGAAAGGCCATGGCTCAACACAGAAGTGCCACAGCAGATGGGAAAGCACATGGGGACTGGGTCCAACTGGATACAGACAGGGAGAGATGGCAGGGAAGACACACTGGGGAGGCTGTGGGGGGACGGATGGACACACAGCATCAAAGGCAGAGAGAGTAATTCCTTAATCCCCGACCCAGCCACACAGAGACAAAAGTTGGAGGAAGGCTGCGCATGGTAATTTTTTTGGCCGGGGGGGTGGGTTTGCGTGTCGCTGCCTGCCTTTGTGCACCTGCCAAAAGTCAGTCCAACTGGCTGTGAAGTGCTGCCCAGATTAATGAGGGATCAGTAGCCAGTGCAATGCAGAGCTATTAGCATTGCAAAAAAAAAAAAAAAAAAAAAAAAAGAGAAAAGAAAGAAAAAGAGAGAGAGGAGATAGAGGAGAGAGAAATGAAAAAAAGCCCTTGAACACAGTAAATCAGACAACAGCTTGCTGAGGACAGCGTAGGCTGGGATCCCATTCCATGCCGTGGTCACATACCCCAACCAGCCTGTTTGGAACGATTATGGATCTGCTGAGCGCCCACCCACAGTCCCAAGCACCAGGATGAGCCCGGGGGATTGTTAAGTGGGGGACAGTCATCCAGGGCAGGCTGGGGAGATGATGGACCCACACTCAGCTTTCCCCCTGTCCATGCTGGTCCCCCCTGCACATGTGCTGGAGGCCTGGGGACATCCACAAGAGCCATTCGCACTCCTACACAGAACATATATGTGTGCCCTCATTCCTGTCCCTGCCTGCAGACTGGTGACGCTGCCTTTCAGCGCTCAGCACAGCAGGAGTTAAGAAAGCCTTCCCTGCTTCCAAGATCCCCCCACCCTGCTCCCATGGCCCACAGCCCACCCTGCCAGGGTGCCCCAGCAGTAGAAAAGGTCACTGTGTTCTGTTCCCATTCTGGGCTTTGCTCCTGGTCCAGTGGGACCAGGTAGCAATTATCTGTGAATAGGGTGATGTACAGGCAGGTCTGAAGCCCAGATGGCCTTTGGAAAGGGATGGGTCAGGAAGGGAAGAAAACCCCAACCGTCCCTGCCCTGGCAGCTGGGATGGGGGCTGGTGCGTGTTGAAAGGAGGTGGAGGGGGATCAGATGCCTCCTTCTCTGCATCCCACATGAAAATGTGTTTGCTGGCTCCCCTGTGGCAGCATTGGCTCTGCTTTCCATTCCTTGACACCTCCTGCTTTCCAGCACAGCTCCTAGTGCAGGAAGGGTGTGCTTTGCTGGCAATACGGAGATGGGGGCTGGCACCCCTCAGTCCCACGGCAGGGACGCACCACCTCTGTGCATGCCAGGACAGAAACCATGCACCTGTTCCAGGTGTATCAAGCCTGGATGAGTCTGCTGTCCCCAGAATAAAAGGAGCACCCTGGCTATTGTAGGGTGAAGCTGATGTGCTCACACAGCCTATGCTACCCACAGCATGCATGGAAATATGGAAGGAAACCCCTCGTAAGAGCACAGCTAGGTGTGCCATGCACCTGGCATCCTTGCACCCTCCTCCTCCTCTGGGTGCTCCTCAAGTTGTCCTGAATGATGGGGGAAATGGGATAGGGATGGGACACCCCAGTGGGCTTGATTTCACAGCCACTTTTCCCCACAACGAGCAGTCAGATCCTGCTACCGGGCTACAAGGAGCTTTGTAGGGACCCAGTTACACAAGTCACTGATGTTTCAGGTTCCTTCAGTCCCTATGAGTGCAGGCGAATCCCAGCAGGCTCTCATCTGCCCTGGGGAACAAACTAAACCAAAACTATAATCCCCAAGCAAGCTGCTCCACTGCTGGGAAGTGAAGAGGGTCACTGCAAAACAGTCACTGCAGCCTGTGAAAAGATGTCGCCATGTGGAAAAGAAATGTTTTACTTTTTCCCTTTCAAAGCCATGTCTGGAGAGCAAACAGGTCTGACATTCATTACTAACAAAGAAGCCCCCAAATACCTCCTCCTTCCACAGCACCACAGGAATCAGTTGGGCTAACCACAGACAAAATGTTCTACCTGGACACCAGAATAATTAAAAGGTTGGGAAAAGTGAATGACCTCCTGTTTTTCTCTGCCAGGCAGGTAGTGGAGGATCCAAGCAGGGTCTGAATTGTGCTCCCTGCTGTCACCCCCTCCTGAAAGGTCTGCTGTGGTGCTGGTGCACATATCTCAGCCCTGCTGTGGGTCTGGGAGGACGAGCTATCACAGGGCTCCTCTGCAGCCAGGGCTGTGTCACACCAAATGCAGCTGAACAGATCCCTCCAAACTCAAAATACAGAGCATCTTTGAAAGCGGGGCTGTAACACTGCTAATAACAGGACTCTCTCTCCAGATGTGCTCGTCCCTTCTGTCAAGTGACAACTTGCAGAGCTCACTTTCACTTGTGGCTGCAGGGAAGATGGGATTGGGGATGCTGAGGGTGCTCAGAACAGCCCTAACCCTGCCTAGCACTGACATATCTGCCCGCAGATGCATTCACCACACTGACACAGTGGGCTGCGGGTGAAAGCAGCTTGTGCATTGGCATGGCAGGGCACAGGCACCTGCCTGGGGTGCTCCGCATGTGAGCAGAGAAAACTGGGCTTGCTAGGGCCTTCCTACCTGCCTGTGGCTGTGTGAGCATGCAGGTGAGTACAGGCACACAGTGCATGCATGAGTGCTCTGCTGCTCAGTGGCACCTTTACAGCTGCCAGGTGCTTGGTGACTTTTAGGTCACTTGTAGTTTTCAACTGGCCTGAGAGCACCCAGACAACACCAGCCACGGGTCCTGAGCCTCAGCTGTGTCCCTGAGGCTGGGGGGGAGGGTGGATGGAAAAGGTGATTTCTAGGCATTTCCCACCTCCATCCTCCTTTGAGACACACTCTGCTCCAGCCCTGCCTGCCCCACACTGAGCTGTGAGCGACACTATTACAGCCTCAACATTTTGCTCCCACCTATTAATTCAATTCTTTTTCCTCTTCTTTTTTAATCACTGACTTTGCAGCCAGGAGGGGAAGGGAGTGAAATGCCGCAATAAAAGCTACCAAGCGTGAAGCTGTAACCCAGCTCCCTCAGGGTGACCTCCCTGCCAAGGTTGCCTCATGAAGAGGGGGAGCAGAGGAGAAGCAGCAGAGGCACGGGGGGGATGCAAATGGGCGCAAAGAAGCGCGCCTGCCACAAAGTGACATTGCCACAGTGCTGGTGGGGACACTGCTGTAGCAGGCAGTGGCACTGACTGCTTCCCTCCTCAACTCTCTCTGTCCCTCTCCCTTGCCCATCACCAGCAGGATATGCATTAGCTCACATTTTCAGGTTATTTCAGGCTGGTCCAAGGCAGGAACTTCCACAGACAGACTGTGAGATATCACCTGTTTGGCAAAAAAGTGTTGTTTTGCCCTGGAAGATGACCCTGAGCCCACCCTGGCAGCCATGTCCGACACTGGGTGAGGGAGGCCAGTCCGGTGGACAATGCTGTTCTCGCACCAACAAACCCAACACTAAATATTTGGCAATACCCACGAACTTCCCACTCCTTTCCCCAAATCCCCATCATTTGCCCAGATAGAGCAGGCACATATGTCTACATTTCTTTCTTTTTGCCCCAGCTCTTAAAATCCTGTGACTGTGGGAGCACCTCTGCTTGCTTTTCCAAAGAAGGATGTTTCCAGCCTCTGCAGATGCTCACGAACGTGGCTCTAATGCTTCAAAAACAGAAGAGGAAGGAGAGAACCCAACCACATTATTAGCTTTAAATATCTCATGACCTTTTACTGCAAATCTCAAGATCTGAGGCGCAGCCCGCCTCACGCTTCGTTAACATTTCATGTTGTCAGCACAGCCAATGGGTTCAATTAGACTTCACGACGGCATCTGCAAATTGCTGGCAGCCCACGGGAGGAAATCCTCCCTCAGTCTGGCCACCAGCTCTGACGCTGTGTAAGAAATACCTTCTTGAGCCTTGCCACATTCCCAGGATGTGCATCGAGCTGATCAGTGCTCAGCACATGTGACTGCCCTCCAAAAGCTGCGAAAAGGGGAGATCGTGCTCTGGAAAATGCTATGGGGCGGGAGCAAATTGGGTGCAAGACCTGCTCTGGGCTCCCCAAAGATGCTCAGAACGGTGTCTGGCCACCCGCCTGCATCTAGGGGCGAATGTGCAGATGTGCTTGTGGGGAGATCACAAGTGTGAGTGCGGCGATCGCTGCTGTTGCAAGTTAACTGAAAGAGCCTGTAAAACCAGAAACAGGCTATTAGCAATCCATTAGGAAAGGGTATCCAGTTCCAGCCTAGGTAAGCCATTAGAGGAACATCTGAAAGCATTGGGAGAGCTCGCTTGGGGCCAGGATGGGGCTATAAAACAGAAGAGGAAACCATGCTAATCTGGCTTGAATTACAAACTTAAAAGCAGGAGAAAAATAAAGGATACCCTAAACATTTAATGTTTTATATTTAGGAGACAGAAGGGGAGATTCTGCCAAAAGGAGAGAATAAAAAACCTGTTTAGGCTACAAATATCCATCTCTCTACTGGCAGCAGAGAAACCACCAGCCCCTCTTCCAGAAAGGGAAGAGTGTGACTTTAAAGTTGCTTGAGTTTCAGAGTGAGCTCAGTGCTGGTGGGGTGGAGGGGAGTCTTTGGCCACATGATGTGACATGATGTGACGTGGCTGCACCACCAACAGCTACAAAATGCCTGTGCCCACATTCGAGGGAGCTGCTGTGGAGTGGCACGATTTGGCACATGCTTCACTGCATGCCCATGTGAAAAATCATCATCATCATCTCTCCATGATATAACTCCGAGAGGACTTCACCGTAATTCCCAGAGCAAACTGCAACACGGGAGTTGCTAAGTGGCCTGAGCAGAAAAGCACTGCTGAGCAGGGGAAAGAGAGTGCAAATGGCATGCTGTGACTCAAACCCAATCTGCGAAGCGCTGGGAATGGGATGAGGGTATCCCCCACCTCTGGGTCAGCCCCAGAGATTGCTCGATGGGGTGGGATGCTTGGGCCAAGCATCACCTGACTTTCTCTGGGGGGGGAAACTGCATTTATGGCTCGCTTGCACAGTGGCAGTCTCGATAAGATCCTCCGCTCCTGCCACGGACAGCTTCATCTTCTGGTGCCAAGCCCTGGCATTATTAAAATCCTGAAAGGAAGAGCCTGGAAGAAAGCAGACGCTGATTGAATCAGGCCCTATGGTATTCGACAGCTCAACATCCATCTGATCCTATTAGTGCTCATTCAGTCCTGCCTGCCGAGGTGCTGTGCATAAATCAGACCCTGCAAAGATAACGGGAGGTGGAGAGGTGAAAGGGGAGATGCTTCTTCTGCCAAGAAACACCACGTGTGAGTGAGGCCTGTATGGATATTCCTCTCTCTGGGCAGCCTCCTATGCTTCTTTGTGGGTTTGCTCCTGCAGGGGTGCTGGGCTTCCCACGGGGCAGCCAAGGAGATGCTTAAAACCCACAGCTGATGCAGAGGTGGGTTGCCATGAGGAGGCAGGAACAGGCTCAGCCTGGGGACCTTGAGCACACAGGGATATGCTAGAACATACCCAACTCCTCCTGACTGTTGGCAGGGACTTCTCCTCACCCTGCTGAACTCCCAAGCTGTCCTGTTGTTGGCATGAAGGTTGTGTGGGCATAAAAACGAAGGGCCTTTCCATGCCAACAGCCAGTGGGGACAGTTAGAGCCAAGACGGGGAGCAGCTTGTGGCAGGAGACCTACACCTCCACAGGAATTAAGACACCCCCATGCAAGCACGGCATGTGTGACCACCTCATCCTTTCTCAGGGCACCTGTCCCTTTGAGGTGAGACAATACACCACCACCGTAGGACAAGTTGTCTGGCTGAGCTAGGTTTGGCCCTCCCAAACCATGTCCTTCCCTCTTCTGTCCGGATTTGGGGGAAAAGAGACACCCCACAAGATGACAACAAGAAATAAGTCAAGCAAAGAGTGCAGTGTGGCTTGCGCATGGTCCCACCATGCTGACATCGGTGGGGTTCATTTTTGGGTGCAAATGCCTGCATTTGCAGGGTGCCCGGCTGGGCTAAGCAGGCTGAATGTGTCAAGGGGGTCTGGGGCCAGAACAGCTCCAGCTGCTGCAGCAGTCCCATTCCGTGGTGTTTGGGAACTGATTGAATTAGGCTTTGCAAATAATTCATCTGATGAATAGTGGCAGTTTTCCTCAAATCATCTACAAATCAGATTTTTCATTACCCAGCCAGCAGGGCAGAGAGTCAGAAAACAAGGCTGGTACCTCACTTGCTGAATGCTTGCACTTGTTCACTGAGCAAATTATTCCCCAAACACTCTTCTCCATCCATCAGTGATAAGGAGCATGTCACTTGCAAGGTGATTCTGATTAAAAGCAGCACCCAGGGCTGGTGAACCTTCTCAAAATGCTGGGATATGAACCCTTCCCAGCCGTCCTTGCACCCACCATGACTGCTGGTACCTCAAGCTCTCTCTGAAGATATCTTTATACAGGAGAAATGAAGGTTTTTAATGACCAAGAACTGCCTTTTCCAACCAGAGTGGCCTTGCCACCAGTGTTGCCAACACCTCCATGTATTTCCCACCACCGCTGCCTGCCCAAGAGCACTGATGGACAGGCCACACCATCCCCTCAAGGCTCTGCGGAGAGGGAACTGTCATGGCTTGACCCCACAAATACTGTACCCAATACCCAGTGATGGAGAGACTGACCACCCTGGAGGTGTTGAGGTGGGAGGATATCTCACTGGTATTCCACCATTTTTGGGTGCAAATCAGGGTAGTTGGCTGGATCAGGTTGTGGTAGGGTAAAAAGATTAGCTTTTTCCACAATTTCCCACCTTGAAAAAACTGATGATGAGTTTGGCAATTGCTATTAAATCTTCCCCTTTTTGCACAGTTTCTACACTTGGAGCATTTCTCCCCCAAGTGACAAAAAGTACCTACAGAAAACTAACATCCAAACTCCACCTCTGCCTTCTTACCCCTCAGAATGCTCCCCAGATGCCCTCCCACTCTCAGGAGGGAAGCAAAGGGCAGAGAAACAATCAGGAATACCCTCTGATTTCCAAAGCCATCAGCAAACACTGCAATTTGAAACACGACCTGCAGCGCTGCTTCATCAAAAACCCAACCAACGCAAAAAGAAGTCGCTGAGACACCAACACCTTGCAGAGACACGAGCAAAGCCTCCCATCCCCTCCCACATTTCTCTCCCCAGGAAGAGCTGGTTGGGAGAAAATCTCGCTTGCTCCCTGACACCCAGGTGCTGGGGACGAGGCGCTGCCTCCTATTTGTCTTTTTTTTTTTTTTTTTTTTTTTTTT